TGGCAATACTGTTTATTGTTTCAACATTTGTATGTTGTGCAGTTAAATTATTTATTTTCTCCATCTTACAGCTTCAACAATATCATCTATATTATTAAACTCTCAATCTACGATAAACTTCTACTTTTGGAACATAAAAAGGATAATTTATTTCGTTCACACAGTACAAGGGGAATGGAACTTATTTCGCATTTTTCTTGATTCATAATTCTCTGGCACTAGGCTTCTCGTGATGCACCAACAAACAAAGTTCGGGCAAGGATGTCAATTGCATCAGCAATTATCTTTGGGTCAGTTTTTTGGAGAATGGGAATATCTCAGACGTCAATACAAGACAGAATGGGATTGCTTCAGGTTTGTGTTGTTCTTGATTCTTGTATGCTTGTTTCTTATATTGGCCTGCTGCTAGCATACATTACAGAACAATATTTTAATGTTTGTTTTTATATATTCAAGTTTTATTCTGCTATGATTCGAGAAAATCATGTCTACATTTAGACTTATGTATATTGTTGGCTGTTTGGGAATTTATTATGCATATTAGAATGATCTTCTATGAGGTAATATTCGAAAAGTTTGATCTTCAGACACCATGCTTTGTAAGATAAGTCCTTTTACTATTAATCCTTTGATTTTTGGTTTAGGCACCTCTCTGCAAGAATGTATTTGTGTTTGTGTGTACTCTAAACATGATTAAACAGAATATATCTAAACAAAACTGTGTACTAGAATGCTGATGATCTAATTAACAGAAACAAAATCAACTATTGAATTAATCACAATTGGGAAGACAGCCCCTTCAATATTCAATCAATTCAGTGTGATGAACAACTATCAATACCAACATCAAGGAATCACAGATTCCATGACTCAAGTTACAGACTTCAGAAAGCAGAATACAAATAAAGAAAGACCCAAAATAGATTTACCCTACTGCTCCCCCTACAAGAAACTACCTATCTTGTAGAGTTTCCTCAATATGCCCAATATTCCTTACTTTTTCCATACCCCTCCTTCTCCCCCTTTCCCTGCTTATAATAACCACATAAGTATTGCTGGACTTGGGCCCACTTGTCCTGAACATCAGTTAAACAATTATTCGTGATTAGATACTCAAGGAAATAATTATTAATATCAAGTAGTTAAGTAAAAAAAATTGAAAATACACATTACAGGAAGAAGATAGTAATGATAAGGTAACCAATGTTTTATATGATTGATAATTTTTCGTGATGAAAACAAATAAGATGAAAGGAGAAAAATGAAAAATATTTAATTTGATATTTCTCTGTTATAAAATGTTCTTTCATCACCTATTTAACTTATTTGGTTTATTTAGTTGATTTTATAAAGTTCTTAAAACAGTTAAATTTTTGCTTATTGTGGACCACCAATTAAAAGCGTTATAAATAAATTTTTTCTTTAAGGTAACCACTGTTTTATATGATTCATAAATTTTGCTTATTGTAGACCACCAATTAACAGCACAGGGATAGTGTTATCCAAAATCTCACTACACTTGACTACTTAAGTTCCATCTTTTATTGTAATTATCTTGACGGATGGTTCAAAATGCTTTAAACCCAAATCTTGTCGAGTTATTCAAATGACGGTTTCACTTGGCTAAGTTTATTACGTGGATGGCACTCACAGGTTACTGCAATAAACACAGCTATGGCTGCTCTCACAAAGACTGTAGGTGTGTTTCCAAAGGAACGGGCAATTGTTGATAGAGAACGTGCTAAAGGCTCCTATTCCTTGGGTCCCTATCTGTTTTCGAAATTGTTGGCTGAGATTCCCATTGGAGCTGCATTTCCATTAATGTTTGGTGCTGTTTTGTACCCCATGGCACGTCTTCATCCTACTTTACTGAGGTCAGTTTCCTGTTTTGTATCTCTGCGTACTAGTTTGAATCAATTTGCAATTTCTTTTTATTTTTTTATTTTTTTATTTTTTCAGTAGTAGATTGAAATTTTCTTTAATGCTTTACACGATGTGGTGAAAAAATGTGCATGATTTTCCAAATTTTTCATCACAATCCATAAATGCCCATGTTTCATTTCCATGGATTATTTATGTTGGCCAATCCAAAGGCCACAGGGGTATACATATACATGCGTGATGAATGAATGTTCTGTTGAAAAAGAAATAACATTAAATATTTTTCATTTTTCTCTTGATCTTTTTTGTCTTCATTATTTAAAAAATAGATAAAATAAAATAAATGCAAGGAGTTGCTCCTGTATGTCACTCTCCCTCTTCACTCACCTCCCCTTTCTGCCTTTGTCCTCATGGTCTTTATTCCAGTTAATTCTTTTCATCTCATATTATTACTTATTAGTCTGACATTCTAGATTTGGGAAATTCTGTGGAATTGTCACTGTGGAATCTTTTGCTGCATCTGCGATGGGTCTTACTGTTGGGGCTATGGTTCCAACCACTGAAGCAGCAATGGCAGTAGGCCCCTCTCTTATGACTGTTTTTATCGTATTTGGAGGCTACTATGTCAATCCTGAGAATACCCCAATCATCTTCCGCTGGATTCCTAGTGTTTCTCTGATTAGATGGTAAGAACAATTCTGATTTATTATTAGGCAAGCAAGAGGAGTTAACTTCAACTATATAGCTTATTCTAGGAAACAGGACTTTATTGAGCTAAACATCCTTGCAAAGTTTAATATTGGTTTCTCTTACTCTGATGCTGATGAACACCAAATTGATGTTTGCACATTTTCAGGGCCTTTCAGGGACTTTGCATCAATGAATTTAGTGGCCTTCAATTTGAACATCAGCATTCATTTGATGTTCAAACTGGAGAACAGGTGAGAGTAGAGCCATGAATCTTTTAATTTTAATTTCAATTGTAACTGAGATCAAATTCAATAGAATTGAATAAAAAAATGATACATATTATGGCCACTGCACACCAGAACTAAAGAGAAAATTTATCAAGTATTAAAAAAATGATAAATAAATAAGGGAAAAATCACGCTGGAAAACTTGGTTACTTTTGGGTGTGACAAGGGTTTATAAGTTGTTAGGGTGACTCTAAGCCTATGAGCTGGCCTGATGTGGTACCACCGTATGAAACACCCCTAACTAGCTTAGGAATGTTATGCATATCAACATATAATTTAATTAGGTACTATAATATGTGGTTGAAATTTTCTTCCTTTCTTAATTAGAGTAGTATAAAATTAAAATGGTGGTACATCACAGCGGCATTAGATCATATTAAAACTACTGCCAATACATATTGGCTTACACATTTGACGATACCAGAAGTTGCTCCTGTCACCTGAAGAGACTAATCTCCATCAGTTTTTACTCAAGTTGAATGTTACATATGATATTACCGAAATGTAGTTGTTCCTAGAGTAGTAATGCTTTTGTTTCCACTCCATCATAAAAGTGCTAAACTTAGAATATTAACCTAGACTTTATAGTATGCCCTCGTACAACCGTTTTTGTCTTGAGTTAAATTAAAATTAAATTGTGATTTACCATCTATGCAACATACCTAATCTGGTTTTCAACTGTCTGAATAAAAAGTAGTAGATCATTTGGATGTTCTTTCTTGAATGCTGAATCATTTCACTTTCTTATCCCCTTCCCTCTTTCGCAGGCATTAGAACGTATTTCCTTTGGAAAAAGTAGGATTATGGATACGGTGGTAGCGCAAAATAGAATACTGTTATTTTGGTATTGCACCACCTACCTTCTCCTTGAGAAAAACAAGCCCAAATACCAGCAACTTGAAACAACCCCTCTTGACCATGACAAACCACATTTGAAAATTGAGGAGTTCAATTCTAAACAAGTTGATCAGACACTTGATGCTCCACCGGTCAACCAAGTTGGTTCCAACCAGCCTCAGGAATCACCTGAAGTAGATCCTGTTGGCCCTTTTATGCTAGAAGGTTTGTAATCAGCTGGGAACTACTGCTCTTCTTATCTGATTTTATCTATTTATTGATTTATCTAATACAGGTGCTAAGTAGAGAGATATCTTTGCAAAGGATGACCTCCTACAATTACTGAGACATTGAGCCGTTTCCTATAAAGCAGGACGACAATCAAGATGTGGTTATTGGACATCCAAAACATCAGCTTATGTTAAAGGTTGTTACTTGTAATAATAGTGACAGTGGATAATCTTGGGCTGTAGCATGTATGGTTCATTTAATTATAGCAACTAATTTCATTCAATGATCAGAGCGTGTGGAAATCATCCATGAGATGTGTTTTTCTTGATTGTGGATAGTGCTATGACCAACAACGTTTGAAAATTGAGGCAGGTCACAGCTTTACTTTTTATGAACTTAGTTCTGAATTGCAGATGCCTAATGAACTATCTCCTACTTCATAAGTGGTGGACTTAACCCCTAACTGTACGTTCACGGCTTTGAACTTTAGTCATCATCACTCGGGTTGGTATTAGAGTCACAAGACTAACAGGCTCAATTTATCAATCTAGTTGTTTCATTTTAACTTGTTCGTTTTTGTCTCTTAATTTATGGATCACGTTGCATTTTGTTCTGATAGTAATTTTTAATTTTAAGTTTTTACTAAATAATGCTATCATGTCAAGAAAACTTTGGAGCAAGGCTATTACGATATAGTCATTTGACGCATCAGCATTAAAATAATTTTTTGTATTGTATCGTAGCCTTTGCCCCACCAGCGCTTATCATATGATTGTAGGTCATCCTTTGCAAGAAGGTTCTTGGCGTAAGAAACATTCAAATAAATGGACACGCTACCTCCAATTCCAAATGTTTAGTGTGTCGTAATCCGCAATCCCTCCAACTCGGTTATACGACGTAACTTCTACTCCACCGTCCTTACATTTCCTTACGTTGCAATCGCAACAGAAGCACCCATCCCTCCATATACTATATATATATAGACACACACACAATCAGATCATCACCATAGAGACGTTCAGCAATACCTTCCAATCACAAAATACAATTCAAAGCTAGTTATTGCAACCCATCATCGCTTTGAAGCTTTTTGAAGCCAAAGAAAATGCAAGCGACCTATCTATACTCACTCGTGCTCCGTTCATCACGCCCTCCTTCAGTCAATTTGTTCCGACAGAGTGCACCATTTGTTTCACAAAAGCTGCCAACTGAGACAAGCACCACTTGTAGGAGTTTCATCTCTGCATCCAAAAGAGACTCGTATGGCCACCATTATGATGGCAAGTTGGTGGATGAGAACATGATCCTTCTTAGAATGAGAATCCGTGAGATTGAAATGGTTGAAATGAAGACTAAAGCTCCCGTGGATTGGACTGAATGGGAGAAGAAGTATTTTGCGAATTATGGTTCAGATGTATGTGAGGCAGTTGGATTGTTGCAGCTATTGTTGATGAACACTAGACCTTCATTGGCATTGGGCATGCTGGCTCTGGTTATGTTAAGCATGTCAACGTCAATGTCACAACTTGTGTTTCAGCTGGTGGAATTGGCTAAAGGAATTATATAATATCTGTAGATGATATTTTGCATCAATCTGAATTGGAAATAGGAAAATCCAAATCAATCATATAATGTATATTTTTTTATTTTTCACTAACGGAAAAGGTGTGAGAGTTTGGTGTAGAAATTATATGTGTAAACAACAGAATTCTTAGCATTTTCTGTAGCAAAAAAAAAAAAAAAATAGTATTCTTTGAAATTGAAAGCAATGTCATTTTCCAATTTTTTTACACTAGCGTACTTTACAGTACGTGACAGAATTGGTGGGGCTGGGAATCATAATACACGTTAATTACAGTGCGTGATAAACAAGGACATAAGTATGCTCTTTATTACTGTGGGAGAATATGCTGAATAATTTTTTGTCTTACAATTATTACATATCATCATTATGATCCTTTAGATGGAAAACATGAATTGGTCAGAACCAACGTGCCTATTAATGGATAATATACGAGAATTATGTACTCCATATATATCTGTTATTAATTTTTTTTAATGGAGAGTAAACAATAACAAGCTGATAAAGTAATCATTTAAAATTTTAAAAGTCCAACTATTAGATTATGGTTTTACTTTTCAAAATCAGCATAAACATAGCTCAATTTTTATACTATTAAAAGTATGTAATTATAATATAAACATAGCTTTAATTATGACTAAGTCTCAATTCATAATTAGTTTCATAACCATTCAAAGAGTCAAAATTTATGAAATGCTCGGATTCTACTCGGGTTCAATTCATTTCAAAAACATAATTATGATCGATATTAAAAAAAAAATATCATCATATCAGAATTGTAGTTATTTATTATTGATTGTGGAGTTTTCTACCAGAGAAGAGATATCAGCCCTTAGGCCATTCTTACGTGCCGTTTCCATCATCTTTGTATGCAAATTCTTCAACTTGTTGAGAAGGTCAATCTTTTTTTTGGTAAAATGAGAAGGTCAATCTTTCTAGACAGTTGGACAACATGCACGGCTGTAATTGTATGCGGCTTTTTGAATACGGAAAAAATATTTTTCATTTCAAAAGACATAAAATTGTGTCATTTTAAGTGGAAAAAAAAAAAAATCATGCGAGATAAATAAAAAATAAAAATAAAAGTGTAGATATCATTTTTTTATGAAAATAAAATAATATAAATTATATGTTTAAAAGGATAAATATATTTGCCTTTCAATACAAGTTGATTTCTTCCTCAAATTATAAGTCCAATAACTCCTGCAACTAGAAGCCTAAGCTCAATGGGCACTAGGCAGAGCCAAATGGTTAGGTTGATCCACCTCATGATTATGAGGAATCACGTATTTGTTATAAGTCATGACTGATTGAGAGTATATACAACAACACAAGTCTTCTTCTCTTTCTTTCTTTTGATATTATCCGGCCTTGGGACTTATTATTTTATTTTTTTTGAAATATTTCAATCAATTCATTGCTTCGCAACTAATCCGATTCGGAGCGGATTTAAGATTAAAACTTTAAATCCCTTAAAAAAATGATACTGGGACTTATTATTAAACAAAATGCTTAAGACGTTTTTTCTCTTCCCTTCTAAAATAAAAGTTGCTGTGACGTGTTTTAGTGTTTCTATCGTGATTTTTTTATTTTTAATAAAAGCAATCTTTAAAATTACTTTTATAAAGTAAAAAAAAAAAGGATAAACTTCACCATCAGTCCCAAACCACACGCCAACATTTTTCTTCTTTTATCATTCTTTAAAAATACTTTAGTGTAACATCTCTTTCTTTCTTTTTCCTTTTTCCCGTTAATTAAGACGTGTTTATATTAGTTTGATGTCTCATGTGCAAACATTTAACGTGGGTAATCTAAGGTGTGCTTACATTTTACATGCTTGAATTTTATAAAAAAATATATGTGATACATTTAAGTTGCATTATTTGACCTTTTTTTGTTGTGGTTGGAGAAATGCATTATTTCACGTTAAATCACTATCATTATATAAAAAAATTTACATTGATAATAATGAAACGAAAAATGTTCAATAACTCACTACAAGAAAAAACAATATTGATTGAAACTAAACCTTAAAAGTGCATGAAAAATAAGGTGCCCGTATTGCTAAACAAAATTCGCTGATCTTCTAATCTCATCCGCCAAATCAAACATGAAGAATGATTGTAGTTTAATTAATAAACAACACCTCTGCTCACCTTAATTAACCTGTACATAATAAACACAAAACATTAAGCTGCCAGCTATGTGGAAGTTATGAACTTGATTTTGAGTAACAATCTCAAATTGTGATGCTAAAACATGTATATATATTACGAGAAAGGTTATACTTACAATCTTTTTTTTATAACCTCTTACAACCATATTTTAATACCGTTAATTTCTGTCAATCAACGGTTATCATTTATTGTAAATTAATAATTAATTAATGAGTTTAATTTACGAAAATCATAACCGTTGATTGGCGAAAATCAACGGTGTTAAGATATGGTTGTAAAAGATTGTAAGTATAACCTACCTCATATATTATTACTAAGCAGTGAAGTTTCAGATAGAAATTAATTAAGCGAGTATCATATAAGTTGAAAGATTTATAATTTTTTTTAAGATTTTTGATTAAGATGCAGTGTCGAACTCATTTATTGTGGCGGATTGTAGCTTAACTAATTAATAATAGTTTTTTTTTTCCTAACAGACTCCCTTGACCGCACACATGATAGGAGCATCACAGCTGATGGTGTGTATTTGGAGATAAAATGCTAGTTGATGTAATTTGGGCTTGATAATCTCCCCAAACCCAGGGAGTCAAGTGTTGATTCTTTTAGTATGTGTTGAAGCTATTAAATTAACTCTTGCTTGATTGGTGTTGATAAAAAATTGATTAGATCCTTCAATAGTTTCAAAGGAAAATTGGTTGACTTTGTTATTAATGAAAATAACGGTAAATTAATTGGATTCGTTATTAATGGAAATAACGATAAATCATTTTGCTCTATTGATATTGGCTAGAGTATAATGTCATTTCCTAATTTGTTCTAGTTTGCAAATCGTGGCAAATTGTTTAAAAAGAGTAACAACATATTGTACTTGTGTTCTTGAGCTCTTTGAGAGAAAAAGAAAAACAAAATCTGATTGCATGAGAAATAATAAGAGAGTGTATATGAGATTTTAAGGTTTAAGAAAAAAAAAAAAAAAATTAGCAATATACTTTGAAATTTTTCGTAGTGAATTTGACATCTTTTGTGGAAATAGGCCGATTTTAAGTGAACAAAATAAATCTTATCCTTTCAATTATTATAATTTTATAATAATATCCCTATTAATTAAAACTAAACGATCGATCTCTTCGGCTTTGCCACAGGCAGAAACCAGAGAAAGCTCATGCCGACTAGAAGCAAAATGGCATACACATTGTCCTTTCCAACGATGAAGTAGCTATCAGCCTATCACTATCTATTATTTCACTTTGACAATGTCTTCTACACGTTTTATTTTTGCAGGAATTACCTTCAATATAGTATGATCTGTTTCGAGATAATGTTGAAACTTGATATAATTGCTTAAAAGTCAACAGTCTGATTTAAGTTTATAATACTTTATATTTAAAAAATAATAATGACCATTAAATTATATAAAATTATTTGATTGAAAAAGTATTATATTTTTAATTTTTAAGATATTATTAATTAATTCTATTTTTTTTATTTTAGGCATAGATTAAGTTAGGTTATAGTTTGCCTAAAACAGGCCCACACATGTTTGTAAAAGGTTGGTCTAAATCTGATATGTTACCTATCACATATTTTTATGGTTCGACCTAACCTTTTTGTAAAAATATAAAATCTAGCTTGGTATTAAAAATGAACAGGCTTATATTCATAAATCTTTTATTTACAAACTCTTATAAAAGGAATATAAACACTTTGTGTACTTCCCATAATACATAATATAATTTGTAAGAGTTTGTAAAAAAAAAAATTATAAATATAACTTATTCTCTTAAAAATTATTTAAAAACCCACATTACGTACATAACCTGTGTAAAAATATAAAATCTAGCTTAGTCTTAAAAATAATTGAAAACCCCACGTTACATAAAAGACTCCAAGTAAATCAATAAGCATTGACTTTTAATTTCTAAAATAAGTGTAACATTTAATAAAATATAATATTTTATACAAATAAATATGAGTTAATATATAATCAAAAAGTATAAAAAGTGTTATAAAATTTTAATTATAATTAAATAATAAATAAACAGGCCAAATAAATTTTTGTTAGCTAAAGATCTAAGCATGTTAGATGAAAAATAGACTAAAACTAAGTAAAACGGTAAAGGCCCCTTAACCTCTCCCCCAATTTTTTTAAATGGTATTTTAAATTTTTTTGACAGATTTAGTTATTGTAAAAATCATTATGGACCAAAAATACAGTGAAGTATTTATTTAAAAAATATTATGTAGCAACTGGCATTTAGAATTCAAATTATGTTTTGTTTATATTTATCCGGGTAGGATATTGTAACAACCAATTAGAGTTACTACCAATGTTACTATTAATCAATTTCACCGTTAGGTCGATTACTTGATCCAACGGTTGTATTTATTTTTATCTTTGTATGGTTATGATTTCCTGCATTTAATATGCAAGCATTAAATATAGAAAATCATAATTATACAAAGGTGAAAATAAATATAAAGTATTAAATATGAGGAATCATAATCATACAAAGATGAAAATAAATATAACCGTTGGATCAATATAATCGATTTAACGTGAAATTGATTGGTAGTAACCCTAATTAGTTGTTACAATATCCTACCCCATATTTATCTTAATTAATTTTAAGTTTGTTTTATCTTATCTTATCAGCAAAGTTAGATATTTTATTTCAAATTATATTATTGGGTATTTTACTTCAATTATTAACAAATATAAGTGGCTATAAATAATTAGTCCACTCATCATAAAAGAAGAGAATGAATTAAGAAAACATAATATTCCCTCCTAATTATATCTTCTCTCTTATTCTTCTCCTTCCTCCCTTATTCTTGATTTAACTTCTCTCTCACAGTCTCACTCTCTTCAATTATTATCCCTTTCCCCAAGTATCCCCTCCATAGAATTATTATCGCTGCATATTACCTGTCCCCATTATATGTATTTGTTGATTTTGACCTTCTTAAAAAAAACCTCTCTAACTTCACCCAAAACAATTATTTTTTCTTTATGGTAATTAACAAGAAACTATAACGTATTATATTTCTAAAGTTGACAAAAAATATCTTTAAAAAAATATTTATTATCGTACACGTCATTATTGATCCACCATATAATACTAATAATTATGGAAGTAGTTCAGTATATAGAAAGAAAGGCTCCGTATTGTCTTATGCATTGGAAGAATCTCACGTTAACAAACTCTAATTTAATGAGAGAGAGAGAGAGAGAGTCCACCATTACTAGTTGTGCCTACACTTTGAAAATTGTGTGTCTGCCATTAATTCTCGATGTTTTGCAATTTGAAAAGTTCATCATACCATACTAATCAATATAATCTTATTATATTACGCACAGGTCAGATACAGAGAACCTGAAACTGAAAGTTGAAATTAACAAAGCGCCGTCCTCACTTTTTTTTATTTACAAATTCCGTTATGTCATTTATGTGCATGTGACATTATTAATGTTTAAGAACTTCTTGGCATGAACCTGATCCTATAGAAAATCATTACACTCTGTTCAAGGGACACGCGTCGTTTTCGTACTGCGACACGTGTCTCCTACCCGAATCCGACTCTACAATAAAAACGCGTTTTAATTAAAGATGGTATTAAAAAAAAAAAAAAACAACAACAACACGGTTTTGCCACATTACTTCTAATCTAAGATCCTTCCTTAACCAAAATTATTGAGGTACAACAAAAAGAACCTTCCCCCCAATGCTTATAAATATGACATGATTGCTTTTTCATTTCCATATTCAAATCAACACACTAAATATTTTCCAAAAGTCCATTGATTCCATATTCAGAACAATATGCAATCCACTTCTTTGATCAATTCTTCACCAATAATATACCATCCGTTTTCAACCTCCATGCCTTGTTCCAGTGGCAGGAAAGCCAGCTTGGTTATGGCCTCTAAGAGAGGAGCAGCTGACCAGAACTTTGGTGGGAATTTGGTGGATGAGAGCATGATTATCCTAAGGAAGAGGATTCATGAGATGAAAATGATAGAGAGGAACTATGAGCCACCTTCGGATTGGATGGATTGGGAGAAACGTTATTATACTAGCTATGACTCTATGATATGTGAAGCAATGGGAGTATTGCAAACCCAGTTGATGAATACTAGGCCAAGCTTTGTTCTTGGGGTCATGGCTTTGGTTGCAATGAGTGTGCCTACTTCTACTGCTGTGGCTTTGTTTCATTTTTTGGACTTTGGCAAGGCTGTTTTGGCTGGGATTCATCTTAATTAGTAATTAGCTTCTTCATTTTGAATGTATATTGAATTAGTGGTTTGTTATTTTGAAAAACCATTTAATTCATTTTAATTTGTACATATATAGCATCATTTATTGAATAGATGGAAGCACCAATAGTATGTGATTTGTGATCTATATACAACTCATTTATTTCTGTTATTGATTTGACTCTATTAATTTGTATCAGTTGCTTTTACTTGAAGATCGAAGATGTTGTCAGATTCCCAAATAATGTAGCTTGAAGTAATTAACTTGGTTGAAAATTCTTGATCAATGATGAGGGGCAACTCTTGCTTGATAGTTGATTGCTTCATTAATCATTACCCTTCTATGTCTCTTAACAACCTAACGAAATAAAGAAAAAGAAAAGGGTTTTTCTCCCTTCCTGAATTGATCGCATAAATCATAAAATCTCTCTAATATGGTGAAGCAGCCCTAAAGCATGTGAACAATTAGTATATTTCCGCTATGGATTGAGATTTAGATCTTATATCTTAGATCTTAGATCTCCAAATATAATTTAAGTTCCTTATAAGGGCAAGTAATATGTAAAATTTAAGACACGCGCCCTTTCAAAGTTTGCAAAGCTTCCATTTTCCAAAAACTATTCAGTGAAAACGGGTGGTTTTGACATATAAAAATAAAATAAAATCAAGGCTTATAAAAATTGAAGAGGGGATCTATTCTGGAGGAGTGTATTAATTGTGCCTATTTTGGGTCCAATCCTCTATCCTCAATCCAACTCACTCTCATGCACAAGGTATTCTGCATATGAGATCACACTCGCTCAACATAATGACAATAATTTTGTCATCATGCACCATATGCTTAACGAATCATTCTCCCACTTATACATGCTCCTCACTCTCATATACAGGATGGACTTTTATCCTTTTCTTGCATTGCTATTGAGATTCTGCACTCACTTAGAACTAAGCCTTTAATACACCTCCTCTCATAGATAAGGATCTCTGCCCAAACCCGCAAGGGTAGCTTAGTTGCAGCTGAGCTCTCAAGGGATTGCTTGGTGCAGGGATCAAACCCTGCCTCAAGCAGTTTCTTGGAAAAAATTTGGAGGCTAGAGAATAAGCCAAAAATTTTCGGTTGGGGGATTAGTCTCGTTGGGCTAGCCCAAACGAGTCGTACCCCGAGGGCATGGTGCCCGGAGAAGGTTGAGTGGGGATACCTCCTGGCAATGTACCAAAAAAAAAAATCTCTGTCCAAATTAATTTTTTTATTTTATATATCAATAGGTATCTGAATCCCATACCTACTCGATTAATTCAATTTCAATTTGAACCTCTCCACCTTCTCTAGAAGTTATGATGCTCAGAAATGGAATACAATACCCTTCGAGTAAGTCAAATTTTTTAGAACCAACAACTTTTGGGTCGGTCCAAATTAACTTTAGTGTGAGACTTCAACTAAAAATATATATGAATTGAGAAGCAGTTCATTTTACAGAAATCGAAGGATCCAAGTGCTTTAAAATAATTCAAGTGCTTTTTGTATTAAAGAATTTATTACAAAAAGTTGATTAAACATTTTACAGAAATTGAGAAGCAGTTGATTAAACAAAAGTACTTTAATTGTTAAAAAATTACTTCTTGATGAAAATAAGTCAATCCAAGTGCTTTTTATATTTATTACTTTTCTTTTTTTAAAATAATTAATTGATAATTTGCTAAAACATAATAGTTATGTTTCAGATGTGAAAAACATTGTAAACAGAAAATAATAAAAAGTAGAAGCTGATTTTTTTTTATTTTTTTTTTTGCCAATTAATTATTTATCACCGTGTGGAATGATGGCAGCTTACGTAGTTAAGGCTAAAGCCTCCACGACAATTATAGCTGTATTTTTAAAAACATGCATTGTTTACAAGTTACAATTAACTTAATTATTGATCCATACTGATAATATATATATTATCTTTTTTGCTTGTCAGTATTAATTTATTAAAATAGAAAAAAAAAACAGTAAGAATTAATATAGAGGACGCGTGTTTGTCCCACTTCAAGAATGGTGGTCTTGAAATTGACACTCTTTGACGATATAGAGCTTCACGTTGGTCTATCGTAATATGATTTTATTAATATCATATTAAAGTAGATAAGTTATCTCATATTATAGAGATAAATTTGTGGATTAAACTATCTGAAAAAATAAAATAAAATAAATAAATAATATGACACAGTTATTGAAGGGTCTGTAAGAAAAAAAATCTATCTCATATAACATGAGAATAATTTTTTCCTTAATAATCTATGAAGGGACGATACATTTGGAATAATACCCTTGACCTATTTACATAAGAATTCAAGTCTCTTTGGGTCAAGAAATGATATTGGGCCAGGCCTAATAAAAACTTAGTGGTCCTAAACATATATTTAGTTATAGTTATCTCAATTAATTGACTTCTACTTAGGTAAATAACTTTTTTTTTGTAACATATGACTTAAAGAAAAAAATATTAAAATTTTGTCAAATTTTTATTCTTTTCTGTTAATAATTTTATTTTCAATTTTTAACTTATGCCCTAAAAGTATACATTAACAAAAATTATTATTATTATTATTTCATGGCATTATGTTCAGGGAAATTGATTTTTCTGCACGCTTCACATATTTGTAAAAAATTTCATTAAATAGATTAACATTTGTAAAGTTAAATATAAACAGCATGATGTAATGCTTTCTTCTAAAGGTGGCAAATTGTTATTTATGACATGTAAAGTTATGTAAATTAATTCCTAAGGTAGTGTTTGGTTGAAGGTTTATTTTAGGATTGATGGGAAAGTATAGGTGGATATTGGAAAATACCACGTTTGGTTCAGGTTTTTTCAAGAAATACCAGACAAATAGGATAGATGGGAAAATGACTTTTGTGTTGATTTTTGGATGAAATTCACTGTTACAGAATACCACTTGAGATGTGGTATTGTGAGATGACTGGGGAAGTGAAAAAACAGATGCAAAGTTTCTCCCGAATATAGATTTTGCATATTTAAATAAATTTCCCTGGTAATATTTGGGTCAACCAAACAACTTTTTTTATATTTTTCTATCAAACTCACTTTCCAACTATTTTCTTATCAATTACATTTCTCTAGTAAAAAAAAATTTCTCCCGAACCAAACACTACCTAAATTTCATAATTCATACATCTTGTATAAAGTATCAATTAAAATGGATTGGGTGAAAATCATTAGCATTAGTTTAGTAGTGAGGGGTTTGCCTAATCTGCACGATATCATAAATTCAAACCTGGCAAAGCGAGATGGGCTGACTTTTCATTTTTTTAAACTCATTTATAAATTAAGTTATTTATTTGGTGTATTTAATATTATTTATTTTTTAATTGTAGTTATAATGTTATTTATTTTGTAACTGTGGTTCTAACTGCATGATCAATTGAATTATTTAGTAGTACTTTTTACATCATGACTTATGTGTAAGTGAGAAATATTTTATTTAATTTCCTTTTTTTATTAATTAAATTGATTGACATCCCACATAAAAAAAGGAAGTAGTTTGGTTTTTTCAACCTGTTTAAAAAAAAACTAACTATCTCCTTCCATTTTTGTCGTGTTAATAGTTTTGCTCACTCTATTTCTAATACTATGCTATGGAATTCTTACATACTAGGAAGCATGATTCAGTCACCCGTGACTTGCCCCTTCTAAATGAGTTTACAATGTTCAACTTTTGAAAAGCAAAATTCAAATCACACTTTTAAGAGGGGGAGAATGGTAGTAAAGGAGTTATATGATATAATTTGGGGAACATTTGATAATGTGAATCTATACCACACAAATTGTGTGCGAATATCACTTAAAGTATAGAAAGTAATGATAATTCTTCAAATGTAAATTTTACATGACAAATAATATGTTTTCATGTATAAATTATGTTTAGCTTTCCTTTCATATTGTAACGACCCGAAATTTAAAGAATTAAAATAAATGAAGTCGCCACCAATTTTATTTACTTTGGAAAAATTGGAAAACCTTTTATTGCAAACTGGTCTTTAAAATAATAGATCAAAGGTTCAGGAGTCTAATTATGCTCAAGGAAGGGTGGAAACTTAATCCCACTGCACCCCTGACACATCCGTTTAAAAACGGTTACCTTAAATTAATTGTGTAATTTATTAATAGCTTTTTAAAAATAATTGCTTTTCCCATAAAAATATAAATATGATTAAGAAGATAAATAATTTATTAAACTTTATTTTAGCTTGACGGAAAGAGTTCCGCTCCGACGTATCCTCAGGTGCAGTGAGGAATTCAAAGCTACGTCGTTCTTAAGAAATTATATTTGCATGTTGATTATTTTTTATTTTAAATTTAGAAATTTCGGATTACCAAGCTGTCACAGCTAAAATAATTCTGATCACACTCAGGGTTGACAAGCCGTCACGGCTAAATTACCCCCTTTTAAATGATTTTAAGGTTATAAAAAAACGATATATGACAATTTTAATGAGTTACGAATCATCAAGCCGTCACGGTTAAAATGATCCATAACCAAACACGCAGGATTAAACAAGCCGCCATGGCTAAATCATCCTTAGGCGTAATTTTAACATTATTATATGTTTTAAATTGATATAAAAATATGATAAAATTTGATTTGTTTCAGATCATCAAGCCGTCACGGTTAAAATGATCCGAAATGAAATACGCGGAGTTAACAAACCGTCACGGTTAAATGACCCCTTTTTAACTAATATCAGATTGATTTTGAAATTTATGCCTTAAGTAATCTAAACTAAATAAAGTATTTCTCTATTTAAATGGAGAATCCAACCTTTCACATTCTTATCATTTTTTTATTAATTTTTTTATAATAATAATAATAATAATAATAAAAGGTTTGAGTTTGAATTTATTAATTACCAATTTATTTCAAATAAACTTTACTGGTTCATAACAGGTCATACGAAAACGCTAGCAATTGATGAACATTGAAATTTTATTATTTCCATTTTTT